TCCACCCCTCTCAGAGTGTCACTGTCACTGTCAGTGTTCTCCCGTTGTTCATGGATTTGCTCGAGTGAGCCCAGTAACATTGTGACACTTGTTACAGTGTTTGGCATATTGAATATGTCACGGGTAGCTTGCCAAGCTTTGCCGTGCAGGCAAGATACTCTCAGTAGCTTGCCGGGCTCTCCGAGAGGGGCAGAGGAATCGAACTTGGGTCAGTCATGTTGGCTGCGTGCAAGGCAAATGCCCCTAGCCACCATGCTATCGCTCCAGCCCACAGATGTGTACAGAGGGGAGAAAGTCTGAATTTAGAGAGATTATAGTGATGGAAAGTGTAAGATAAGAAAGAAGAGAAAGACCTAAGGAAGGAGATGAATCTCAGAGGGAGTTCATTGGAAATTATAGATAAAGCAATATAGAGGCAGGGCAGGGAGGGGCAGGAAGGAAACTGGGACATTGCTGGTGGGAAATGTACAATGGTGAAGGGAAGGATGTTGGAACATTGTATGACTGAAACCCAATCAATCATGAACAACTTTGTAACTGCATCTCATAGTGATTCAATTAAAAAAATTTAAAAATGCTTTCAAATATCATTCAGCTGTAGTCCTACCTTTCCACACTCACGGTCAAAGTCGGCCAGCATTTGTGCCGCTTGGCTGATGTTTGGTGTTATTAAAACAATGTCATCAGCAAAGCGGAGGTGGTGTAGTTGCCGACCATCTATTTTCACTCCCATTCCTTCCCATTCCAGTCGTCGCATGATGTTCTTGAGGGTGGCACTGAAGAGTTTTGGTGAAATGGTATCACCCTGCCGCACCCCTCTCTTGACATCAACGATCACTTCTTTGTAGAATGGTGAGATCCTGGTAGTGAATCCGCAATACAGCTCACGGAGGATCCTGATGTATTGGGCTTGAATGCCCTGATTGGCTAGGGCTTCAATGACCACTTCCGTCTCAACAGAATCAAAGGCCTTCTTTAAATCAATGAACGTTAAACAGAGCGGCATCTTGAACTCCCGAGAAACCTCAATGAGCTTGGTTATCGTGTGGACATGGTCGATGGTGCTGAATTCTTTGCGGAACCCGGCTTGCTCCCATGGTTGTCCTTCATCTAGTGTTCTGCCAATCCTATTTAGGATGACTCGAGTGAACAACTTGTAGATGACAGACAATAGGCAGATTGGGCGATAATTGCCAATGTCATGGATGTCTCCCTTCTTGAACAGTAGTACGGTCCTGCTGGTTTTCCATTGGGACGGAACCTTGCATTCAGACAGGTAGCGAGTGAAGAGCCGAGCCAGTGTATTGATGAGTACTGACGGCAGGTTCTTCCGGTGTTCAGGTCTGCCCTTGTCTGGGCCGGGTGCTGTTTGTTTCTTTACCGACGAAATGGCGTGTCGGATTTCGGAAGGGAGAACGTTGGGAACGACATATCCATCCTATGGAATTTGGTATATTGGCAAGTGGACATGGCTATTGAAGAGATTTGAGTAGAAGTCATGGATAATCTTCTCCATTGCCGTTCTGGAGGATGTGATGGATCCATCAGGACGTCGGAGGGCAGTCATCTTGGTCTTATAGTTGGCGAAGGACAGGCGGGCGTTACGAATACTTTTCCCGGCTTCTGCCGCATCTACCAGTACTTCTGCTCTTCTCTCTTTGAGGTCTTCCCTGATCGCATCTCTGCACTGCTTTGCGAGCTCGGACATTTTATTGCGGTTGCCTGAGGCATGCGCCAAACCACGCTGGCGAATTAGCTCAAGAGTTTTCGAAGATAGGCGATTTTTTGTGGCTATCTCTCTCTTGGCGTTCCTTGCACATTCATGGAGGTGCTGAACCAGTCGATCATATTCCTCATCAATGTTGTCAACAATGACATCTTCCCATGTTGCCGCAATAGTACCAAAGAGTTCCCAGTTGGTGGTCATTCTGGGAGTTCTCTTTTTGAACTTTGCAGCCCTTTCTCCCCGCTCTGTGAAGTAGAATTTTGCACGAAGGAGATGGTGGTCCAATCCCGTTCGAAATTTTGGGACAACAGCGACATCAGTCAGGCAAAACCGTCGATTGAATATGATGTGGTCTATTTCGTTGTGGAATCGTCCACCGGGAGACTCCCATGTCCATCGTTTAGATTCTGCCTTCTGGAACTGTGAGTTACCATGAATGGTCTTGGTTGACATGATGAACTCAGACAGTCTCTCACCCTGTTCGTTCCATTCTAGGCCATGGGTCCCAATGTGAAGTTCTTCAGCTGATCTTCTCGGTCCTATCTTGGCATTAAAATCACCCACAATGATCTTTTATTAGGTGTGGTATTCTTTATAGAACTTCTCTAGCTCCATGTAGAACTTCTCGATTTCTCTTTCATCATAATGAGATGTTGGTGCGTAGAAAATGAAGATAGAAACTGCAGGCAGTGAGTCACATCTATTCAAATGTAAACGTCCGATTCAGGTTGTTAGGCATTCGAATGAATCAATGCTCTTGGCCAAGTTTGTGTTGACAAGGACACCGACGCCTCCAACACCTCTTTTATCACATGTTCTGAGGAACAATTCTTCTCCAGTGTCGAATACGGCATGGTGAGATTCGTGCCTTCTTGTCTCGGTCAGACCAATGATGTCGTACTTGATCATTCGCGCTTGTACCATCAGGTCCTCAATGGATGCATCTGATGCTAGCGTACGTGCATTGAAAGTACAGACGATCATTTTTGGAAAGGTAGGACTACAGCTGAATCTTACGAAGACAATGTTTATGAGAAACAGCCTTGTTCCTGACGCCCCATTTGCTCTCAATGGAACGACCATCTCCGAATGCAACAGCTATGTGTACATAGGTCGAGAGGCCAACATGACAAATGACCTGGCACCCGAGCTGCGCAGGAGGAAGAGAGCGGCTTGGAACACCTTCAAGAACGTCGAAGAAATAGCTAAGAGGACGAAGAACCTCCGGCTCCGGGCACATCTCTTTGATTCCACTGTTCTTCCTGCATTAACATATGCCTCAGAGACCTGGGCCCTACGCAAACAAGATGAGAACGCTATTCAGGTCTCCCAAAGAAGAATAGAGCAATGCTTGGAATATCACGTTTCACTCAAATGAGAGAGAGAATCAGGAGTTCTGACATCCACCGACGATCAAGAATCAGGGACGCTGTCTCATATGCCAAGGTGTCGAAAATCAGATGGGCTGGTCACGTAATGAGATTTAAAGACGACCGCTGGACTAGAGCTGTTACCGACTGGATTCCACGGGATGTCAAAAGACCGCGTGGCTGCCCACCTTCCAGATGGTCAGACTTCTTCGTCAAGATCATGAACGATCGGTTTGAGGCCCTTCATGTTCCCGGAGCGAACAGATGCCATTGGGCTACACTAGCACGCGACAGGGACAAATGGAGACGTTACTGGCGCTCGCTTGAGCAAATCGACGACTAACGGGAAGTTGAGTGATAAGTGATTCAAATATCATGATGTTTGCTAGATGTCAAACTGAAGAAAGTGAATGTAAAACTGACACTGAGCAGTCTATGGTGGGTTTGATGCAGGATAAAGAGATAGATGATTTGGGGCTGGAGCAATAGCACAGCAGGTAGGGAGTTTGCCTTGCACGCGGCCGACCCGGGTTCGATTCCCAGCATCCCATATGGTTCCCCAAGCACCGCCAGGAGTAATTCTTGAGTGCAGAACCAGGAGTAACCCCTGAGCATGTGTTGGGTGTGACCCAAAAAGCAAAAAAAAAAAAAAAAAAAGAGAGAGACAGATGATTTTATACTGGTGAAGGGCTGGGAGGGACCTGGACCCTCAAATAAAACAACCGGTAGAGGGCAGCCTTGTGTTAAAATAATCATAATGTGCTTGGGACTAGAGAAATTGTACAGCAGGCAAGGTGCTTCCTCTGCATGTTGGGAACCTGGATTCGATCTAAGGCATCTCATAAGGTTCTCTGAGCACCTCCAGGAGCAATTCCTGAGTGCTGAGTCAGAAATAGCCCCTGAACATCACCAGGCGTCCTCCCTGTCCCTCAAAATGATGATAATGTACTCTCTAGCTTGGAGGATTATCCCAGGCAAGGGTTATGGGAAAGCAGTAACATCATTTCATAGTAATAAACCCAAAATTTGCATGAGTAAACTAGCTGGGGCTTTGGAATGGGAATTCTGAGATGATTCCAGGAATGTCTGCATATAGAATTAATTAGATATGTGGTGGTATCATTACAGACGAGTGAAAAATAATCATTAGTGTATTAATATTAATAATTATTAATTTTTATTAATTATTAATAATCCAATCATTTGTTGGATACCAAACGGGAGATAATTAGGGGAAGTGGTTTTGGACCTTATTCTGCTATGCTCAGAGGTTATTCCTTTGTACTCGGGAGTGACCCCTAGCTGCAATTTGAAGAACCGTAAGTGGTTCTGGGCAATTAAACCAGGGTCAGCAGGATGCAAGACGAGCATTTGAACTTTGATCTCTCAGGAGGAAACTTTTATATGTTAAAGAAAAAAATAATGTCCAGGAAGTATGACAGACTCTGAGAAGGGCTAAGGTTGAAGCGGGTAGGTCATTTGCCTTGCACGCGGCTGATCCGGTTTCAATTCTGAACACCTCATATGGTCCCCAGGGTCCACTAGGAATGATCCCTGAGCATAGAATCAGGAGCTAAGTCTTGAGCTCTGCCAGATGTGGTGCGAAAGACAAATAAAAAAATGGTGGCATCATCACTGAGCTGTGGAGGCGAATCAGTGCTATTTTTGAAAAAACACATACATTAGCTGACAGTCGGGAACAATTTTAACATGTTAGAGAAAAAATGATGTCACTACAGAATCTAAGGAGAAAATGATATACTAGGTTCCCATCCCTGGAGAGAGAATGACCAGTCAGTTTAGGTCTAAGTTTAGTATGTCCATTTCTTTTTGTTCTATTTTATTGTGATCCCTTTCTATAAGGATTACCCATTGACCCTTACCTGCCCTTCCCACACCTGAGGATGGAGGAGGTGTCGGCAGTCCTGGCCAAAATTCAGCCAGAGCTCATCTGTCCCGTCTGCCTGGACTACCTCGATAACCCCATCACCATTGACTGCAGCCACAACTTCTGCGCCTCCTGCATCCGCACGTCATGGAAGGACCTGCAGGACAGATTCCCTTGTCCCGTGTGCCGGCGGGCCCTCCAGGAGATGCGCGTCAGTGGCAACGCCCAGCTGGGCAGGCTGGTGGACCTGGTCAAGCTCCTGCACAGCTCTGGGAGCAGAGAGATGGCGCAGGCAGAGGAACACAGGTGTGAGGAGCACAGGCAGGTGGTGAGCCTCTTCTGTGAAGATTACCAGGAGCCGGTGTGTCCCCTGTGCCCCCAGGGCCCTGTCCACCAGGGACCCAACATCAGGCCCGGGGAGGAGGTTGCACATCAGTACAGACAGAGGCTCGGCGGCTTCATCGAGTCCCTGAAGTCACAGCGGGCAACGGTGGAGAAGCTCTTAGTCATCCAAGAGAAAAAGCTCCTGCAGCTGAGAGAGGAGGTAAGAATGCATAACAGTCAGTTGGCCTCAGAATTTGAGCAGCTCACCCAGTTTGTGGAGCGTGAACAAGAGGCGGCACTCTGCAGGCTGGCCAAAGAGGACAAACGCCTGCAGCAGCAGCTCAGGGCCAACCTGGAGGCCTACTCGGACCACATCTGGGCGCTGAAAGACCTCAGACGGGAGGTGGCCGAGTGGAGCGTGATGTCCAAGGAGATGGTGCTGATGGGCGTGAGGGGCCTGCAGAAACGCTGGGAGGGCCTGCAGTCCCCAGTCATGCAGCCCCTGCCCTTCAGGCCGGTGGCCTACAGCCTCCCTCCTCTGTGCTCGGCGCTCAGCAGCATCATCTGGAGATTCCGAGAGCGCATCAGCCTGGACCCCTACATGGCACACCCCAGCCTGCGCGTGTTCCGGGACCTCATGTCAGTGACCTGCGTGAGGGAGAGGCCCAAAGGGGATGGGAACACCGGCCCTGGGACTACACTGCCCCGTTGGTGGTCCTGGGCCGGGAGGGCTTCGCCTCTGGCCGCCACTACTGGGCGGTGCAGGTGGGCGCCAAGCCCAAGTGGGCCGTGGGCGTGTGCAGTGTCGTGCCTTCCGCCCAGGCCACCGGTCCCCTGGCATCTCCCAAGAGATGCTGGACGCTGCAGCTGCAGGATGGAGACTACCTGGCCCTGGGAGCGGGGCCCGTGCCTTTGGCTCTCAGGGACCAGCCCGCGGCCATCGGCGTTTACCTGGACTGGGAGCTGGGACAGCTTTCCTTCTACAACGCCGCCGACAGGTCTCACCTGCACTTGTTAAACGAGCCCTTTGCTGAAGAGCTCAAGCCCTACTTCCTCCTGAGGCCCGACTGTGCCCCTCTCTCCGTGGGTGTGGGGAGAGTTTAAAGGAAGGATAATCCCTTGTGTTTATTTTCCCACTCTAAGTGGAAAACTGTTGATGTAAACATGATGAAACGGATGCATAGATATTCATATTTAGGGACAATGAAGGAGAAACGTTCTCTTTTGTAATAAGTCGTATATAGAAATAATTGTACCATTATTTGTTGTAAATAAAACAAAAAATTTTTATAATGTAAAAGATATTTCAGGTCTTCTGTGCAACAGTAAAGTATTTTGAAAGCATTGCAAAACTTCACACATTATCTGTGAGGTTGGAAGATTTGACTTTCACCAATTTTGATGTTACAGAATCAATGTTCACTAATTTAATAACACCAAAAACAGTACTTTTATGAAAGGAAGAATGATAAAAGATTTCCAATTTTTTGGAAGAATATGTAAGTATGATATTTAACTAGTGGCAGACATTTCCACATAGACAAAAAATCTGAATAGACAGTACACCCTATCTTTAATTCCTGAGTACATGAGCCAGGAGTAACCCCTGTGCATTGCCTGGTGTGACCCAAAAAGCAAAAAATTAAAAATTAAAAAAAATAAAAAGCATCTTTGATCTTAGAGATCTTAGAGATTGGTGAATGTAGGCAGATTCTGGGGAGAATGCAGTCAGTGATGTGTAAGAGAGAGGTCCAGCCCTGACTGTCACCTCATGGTCCTAACCAAAATGAATTCCTCTTCATTTGAAGTTTGATATGGGGTCTAAGAAGCAGGAATCATGAGTGGAAAGAGTGAAAACAATGATAAGAGGTTAGGGATGTTTGGAGTAATCCCTGAAGTAACATTGTAGACTCAGAAATTTTGATACCTCAGGTATTTGAAATGTAGGGAAAAAAAGAAAAGAAATCTCAGATATTTGAGATGTAGGAGAAAAGACAGAAAAGAGTAAGATAAAATTTGATTTGGTTAGAAGAGGGGCAACACAATAATGGTGAGCTCTAATATATTACTAGACAGCATTTTAGGCAGATGAAACAAAACTATTATGATAACCATAACAAATCCTCCAATAAAAATGTAATTCCAGCTTTCTTTTTCTCAGCCTTTTCAAGCAAAACTCAGACCACACATTAGTTCATGTGTAAATTCTAATTTTTGATAATTAATGGATAGAACCTGTTTTGATGTCAATAAATCATAATATAATTATTAAAAGGAAGGCTTGTAACAATTAGATGCTCAAAGATACATGGCCTTATAATACTTTTTCTGTCAGAATAAATGCATTTGTATCATGAAAATGAATTAAACAAGTATTTGTCAGAGCTTGCTAGAAAATTGGAAAGAGTGTTCAGATTCTTTAAGGGAAATGAGTAATGAGCACATATTTTCTTCTTACAGCTCGGTTACTGGAGGACTGAACTATATTCTGAAAGACTTATCTTCAGAAAACTTATATTCTAGGGCCAGAGTGATAGTACAGCAGATAGAGCGTTTGCCTTGCATACAGCCGACCCCCAGCATCTCATGTGGTCCCCCAGCACTGCCAGGAGTAATTCCTGAGTGCAGAGCCAAAAGTAACCCCTGAGCAATGCCAGGTGTGACCCAAAACAAACAAAAAGAAAAAGCCAAAAAGAAAAGAAAAAAAAAACATTCTAAAAGATCTATCTTCAGAATACTTATATTTTAAAAGACTTATTTCCAGACATCCTTCTTCCAAGAATGGCTTTTTCTGATTCCTGGCCGAACTCCAATCAGAAGCCAGCTGCCCTCTCTGTCTAGATAACCTGAGAGACCCAGTGACTCTAGCCTGTGGCCACAACTTCTGTGTCTCCTGCATTCAACAGCGCTGGGTTGATCTACAGGACATCTTCCCCTGTGGTTGGGGACCCAGACAACCTGGATATGCTCATTTCATGTCCTGCCCTAGTAGGCCTGACCTCAGATTCTGTAAGCTACTCATCCCGCGTCTTGCATGAACTGGTAAGCGCCCCTCACTCCACAAGCCACCATCAGTCCCTATCCTCCTCTCCAGTTGTTCTAAACAAGCCCCCAAACCAGAGTCCCCTATCTGCATCTCCTCTGGTCTGCAGGAGGGCAAGAAATGTGACAGAGAAGAGTCAAATTTCATAAGAGCCAAAAGCAGGAGAAACCCCCTCCCCCACTTACTTATAGGATGTTTAAGGAATAGCAGGTGTTGATAATCATTCAACAGCCCCAGAAGAACGATCTGCCCCCAGAATCGAAAGTCCAGTCCTCAAGATGAAGGGCCAGTCCTAGGTCTTACTGCCTTGAGGAGGAGCACATGAAATGGGGCAAAATAAAGAGAGGTTCTCTAGCATGGCATTAGTCCTACTACATGCTCTTCCCTGGGTTCTTTCGGTGTGACCTGTTGTGTTTTTTTCAAAAGACTTTGCGATATTTTTCAAAACACTGCTGCATCTGACCTTCAGTTTTCCTTTTGGTGGTAAACGGGCGTAAAGTGCTCACTTTATTATTTTCCTTCAGTTAAGCCACTGTAACATATTAACACTAATGCCTTCTTAATAAATTTGAACACAAGAATGGATGCTATCACTTCCACCCAAAATCTTTGATATCCAAGCAACCACACCATACACAGATGAATAAAGATTTTTGTCCTTCAGTTGGGGGAGGGAAACGTACCTGCCACAGAAGCAGGCTGGGGGTGGGAGGAAAATCAGAGAGATTGGTGGAAGGTAGTGAGCACTGGTGAAGGCATTGTTGGAACAATGTATGCCTGAAACTCAATCACAAATGGCTGTCGTTTTGTAAGTTTTGTTAACTCAATTTTAAAAAAGAAAAGAAAAAATATTTTTTACTTTCCCTCACTGCACCCCAATCCTCCAAAAAAGATAGGTGATTTCATCATCATTGATGCTTCAAAATAATTTGGGGATAGATTCCCCCTGACTGGCTTGAAGAAAGCTGGCACCATGCAGAAAGGCTGAGCTGTGGAGGTACAGCTCTGGGACCTTGAAGTCATATGTGTGTCCAGGCAGTTGGCACTTTCAACTGTGCTGGTTGTGCTTCTTTGACCAACTTCTACCAATGCTGGTTTTGGCCCATCTGATTTCTATAACACAAGTACTCATGACAGTGATTCTTGTTTAAGAATAAAGGCCTCCTTTGAAGTCTTTCTTTAAGTGTTTCTCTCATGGTTTTCTACACACCTGTTTATACTCCACACCAGATTTGGAGGTCTCCAGGCATTGTGCTCTTATGTCTGATTGTGTCATCATCTTCTGGTCAACCATGACTAAAGATGAGTTCTCAGGATATTAAAATCCCAAACATTTGAGTTAGTGCCTATTAAAATCTTGAAGTAGAGACTCTAGAGATAGTGTAGTGGGTAATGGCATTTGTGTTGAGCACAGCTGACCTTGATTGAATCCCTGGAACCCCCTAGGGTCCCCTGAGACCCATCTGGAGTGATCCCCGAACATAGAACCACGAATAAATCCTGAGTACGTCCAGTGAGGCCCAGAAACAAAACAACACAGAGGCACCAGTTACAAAGTGTCTGGTCAAGCAACTAGCCCTCAGTGCTGACCATGGCTACATGCACCACCGTACCAGCTGCCCGCTGGCGCCTCCGTGAGGCACACTTCTGTGTGCCCTGCCACAGAATGGGGGTAGCAGAGCAGGGTATCCCAGGCAATGACTGGTTGCACAAGGGGATGCCCAGTGATGACCTCAGACATGGCCTGCGTCGAGAGCTGGAACCACGACTGCATGAAGTTCTTAGACAAATGACCATGTTACCAGCTATCCTTCAATAGAGGTGAGCCGCCCAGTTCCGCGAGTGTAGGAAAATGGCAAACTCAGCCATCATCACTAATATGGACATTTGCCCTACTTCAGGCTGAAAGGACAAACTGGGATCTATCTCTGCAGAAAATAGTTTTGACTGGAGAGATGCTCAGAGGACTGGAGCACAAGTTTTGCCCACATGAGACCTGAGTTTGATCCCTGGCATTGCATGGTATCCTGAGTGTTGCCTGGAGTGACCTCTCTCCACAGGGATGGATTAACAAATGAACCCAAAACCTAGCACTCATGATTCTTTTGTCGTTCTGGAGGTCAGAAGTTTAAAATGGTTCTCACTGGCTTCCCCCCAGCATGCTAGCTGGCCTCAGTTCTGGGGAGAAACAGACACTCTTCCCTCACCTGCCTCCACATTCTGGGGCTGCCATCCTAGACCGTGAGCCTTTTCTGTAGTCAGAGTCAAAAACATCGCATCTTCACATCTCTCTTAGCTTCAGGCTCCCAGCACCTACTTCCTTACTGATTCCTGCTTCCTTACTAATAAGACCCTTGCAATCCTATGGAACACACTTGCATAGTCCAGGATTCTCCAGTTCTCCTCAGAGATTTTAGCCTGAAGACCATATAGTTTCATTGGATTGCCTCAATATCTCTTCTGAGATTAGCCATGAACGTGATTAGGACGTTTGCAGAGTGGCACATGTCCCCCTCCTTACTTAAATGGAATCTCCCCACTCCTTCTGTAACAAGTTATCCATCCTCTGAAACAAGCACTGTTACTACCCTTAGCAGAATCAACTATCTCTTAGCCATAACAGGGGCTATTCCCCCTCAGGGAAGAGCCAAAACCTGAACGTTTGTATGCTAGTTCAGATCCATTGCTCCCTCACCAGAACTTTGTGAAGAGAAATTTGGATATATTTTGAAGAATTTTTTTAAGCTTAGTAATGGATTTGTTATGTTAAGTGTAACCTTCTCTTTCATCTGGCAAGATGTGAACACAGGTTTGACTCACTCGTGCACACTGGATGAGAAATAGGATCCTTTATTGTTTAGTGGGAGAGTGGGGGGGAGCAATAGTTGGGGAGGGGATGGAGTCTCAGGGAATAATCTGGGGACATGGAGCTATTTCCAGTAATACTCGTCAAACCAGGCTAAATGTTAGGAAGGTTGTTGTTCGACCTCTGTGGTGTATGGGGTTTGGCAGATTTTCAAAAGCAGATTGGGGGCAAGGATCTGTGATGCTCTTCAGAAGT